AAGAGAGAACCCAATTCAAGGTTGCTCACAAACACTCTGTACACTCTGAACTTGCAGGTCGCTTCAATCAAACGATTTCTATTCTCACAAACACAGTACAAAAGAAGACGTTCTTTCGCGGGCACAAGATTCACGAAGAAAGAATGCAATTACATATCTGGTACGTTCTGAGAACCAAGAGGTCGCTCCTCGACGCGGTGCATCAGTGACCAAACAATTCTTCATCACTGAAAGATGCGTCGATTCGCGTCGTTATATTAGATCTAACGCGGTAAGTAGTCAGTAATCGATTTAATAATTCGACCGGCTCGATTAACTGACCGATACAACAGTCACACATGTGACAGTGATAACGTCATTTCCGCGGCGAACAATCACCACTGGTCAACGTTTCTGTCGGTTCTGAACGCTGAATATATCTCAACGGGGGCACGGAATCTATTCGTAGCTCGAAAAGGGGACACCCAACCGATTCAAAGCACCGTCACGACCACTGATCATTCGATTACGAATTAAATGCACAGTTGTTCCGTGAAGCGATCGAACGATACTTTTCACTTCGCCCTCTCAGAGGGAGTCTTTTCACCGGTTCAGTGGTTCCGTCGATAGGCACAAGGGACATATTGCTACATACAACTGCATTTGCAGGAAGTTGCAAAAAGCTGGGGTAAAACTTTAGAAACGCTTATTAAGATCTTCTGCTTCTTTTCACGATATAAACATGCTTTAACAGTTTGATACCTACTTTTGGAAACACCATGTATGCCTACGACATACTTCTGTCTCGTGAATCTAATCTTGAATAGCGAAGACTACGAATCGCTTTCTACGATCTTTGATACATGCATACCTACGATGCTACAGATAATTGAATTCTAGATCAAAGTTCTGTGTGTCTAGATGAGAACCGTGTCTTTCTAGAAACCTAATTATCAGTCCATGCACTGGAATGTTTAACATATACCATACCTACCATGGAGAAAGATAAGCGTTTTGGAAGTAGTTTTAGATTCAAGTGGTAAAATTAGATTAGTATCTGCTACACTCGAACGATACAGAGAGTAATATTCCCTATGGATTATCGTAAGCCACCGAAAGTCCATGTAACAGAAGAGCGTGTTAACGGAGAAAAAGTGCTAATGGAAATCGTTGGAATTCTCTTCTGAAAGAACACAGCTCACATCCACGAGCATCGTGAAGCCATAAAGCGATTCTTCAGCCACTTTTCAACCTCCCCGGAGAGCAAGCATTCTAGAGCGAGCAACATTGTTGCGCGAGTCTTGGTCCGTGCAGCACCATAAATCCAAACTTCCGAGTGTTCTTTGCATATTGAAATATTTCTACTGAAAGTAGCAGGAAATCTGGCAAGCACGTGGTTGCACACAACGCCAGATACGATAGACTACCCTGAAGCTTGTTTCAAACGGAACATTGTCACGTTTGCGATGCCATATCTTCAGCTGAAAGACATTAGACACGACTGCCTAAACCATACACGAGAATAAGACAGATTTCCTTCATTCTCGCGTATTGCCTTTCGTTTCGGAGCTGAAGTAGAAGCAGATGGAAATCGCAGTAGATCTATCTTCTAAGTACTCTTTCCCTCATAATGACCAAAAGAAAGGTCGTAAAGTGATTCGAGAACCCATATCTGTAAAAAGCCGCCACTTGTTGCCGGATTTTAATATATCTCTAGTATCCTCCATAAAAATGTCCCGAACTATAGGTCACCTTGTTATTGGCCGTTTAAGCAACTTGTTGCGTTGCATTATTCGGGGAAACAGTAACAAGCTCTATCGGGTCGCGGCCGAACCGCGGTGTTCCAGTCAAGCAAGCTTGCGGTTTATCGACATCCTCGGTGAATGCTGAAAGATTATCCTGTTTTGCTACCGTGACCGATGAATCTAGAGATGCGACGAAACCTCTGACTACTGCTCCGACTTGTACTGCTCTGACCGCACGCTCGCTTTTCAAGAAACTACACTTTTCACGATCTCCAGCGAATTATTCATCATCGAACGATAAAGACGGGCGGGATCGTTCGTTACTTTCATCTGTGCAATTAGGCGGCTGAAGCTTATCGTATGTTCCTGACGAATGGTGAAACACGCAGCAGAATTTAGATGCTGATATATACATATGTATGTATATACGTAGTTCGTACATCGTGTATATCTATGCTGTGGAACGATGCAACTTCGCCTCTTATCTAACCGGATATAAACAGAGACCGGGTAGTGTCGGCGAGCAAGGCTCCACGAGATGCGTTCTGAAAGCGCAGAAGCAACTCGCACGATGCGATGCTCACTTTGTAAGCTTTTATTACGAGTTTTCTTGCTAACATAGTTGTTGCAGCTTGGCGTCGCATTAATTCGTAGATATTCTTTCTAACGTAGCTTGTTCGTGTCGATGATCCGGCTGTGTTCGTGTTGATCATTATTTAACTTATATTGTGAATGGACAATATATGTGGCATCCATGGAATCGGTGTTTAATTAAATTAGAATTATTAAAACAATGGTTGATTAGCATCTGAAATCAATTAGTTGTATGCAAATTATATGCTAAATATGATATTATTCTCTAATTAGCTGCGCCGTTATGTTACGATCGTTTATCTGCTTACAGTGAGAAATTAATTTACGATAATCGTAAATCGGCACCCATGTGAATAACGTAGCATTCTATCTGTTTTAATTATCATTGCAATATCGATCGGCATATTATTTATATACTAATATAATGGTAATACGTGTAACGTTATAAGGTGACTGAAAATAAATCTTTAATTTGAACGAATTAGTTCAAAGAGTAATCAGCATTAGCAGCATCCTGTCACTCTATGCTCTGGACAAGAAATTAAATCCTGCGCTTGCAAATGCAGGGTTAATTCATGTTCTCACATTCAGGTCAATATACCTCGGACCAGCATGTGTGCGTCATCAAACGATGTCTCGAAATTTGCTTCCATCTGCATAAAAAAGATACCCACGATTTATGTATATACGTGAGAAAACTATCGTACAATAAAATTAGATAATTTACACGATAACGAACAAAAGCATTGGCACAGATTAACTTTTCTCGCAAATCCTGTATATTTGTTGTAAAATATAACTCAAAAATTTTAAACAGTTATGATATTTATGTCTGTCGTTAGGTCACAATATAGTCAAGAATCACCCTTTTCCAGTTGTATCACCAGTTACAAGATGTTCTACACCTGTAAACTCCTTACCCCTTTTAACTTGAACATATGTAAATATATTGCGTTGAATTATGTTATATGTACGTATATTATATTATATAAACTAAGTAAATAAGTTCTTTAAATTTAATAACTTACTAAAATATATCTAACATGAACGAGGAGAACCACTATCCCTATTTGTAAGGGATGATAAAAAGAAAAATGAATTGATTTTATTAAAATAAACATATGTTCTCTATTCGATATACTTTGTATTGAAGTGTTTGCTTCCTCACAAAAAAATTGTACCCGCGAAATGGTTAATCCCTGTGAAGTTGCAACCATGGCAAATTATATAAGACATGTATCTATTCGCAGTTATAGTTATGCAGGTTATAGTTGACGTTCCATACGAACAAACCTTTCTGCTCCTCTGTACATCAGGCGGTATCAGTAGATGGGTAATACCACTAACTGTTGCAGCGTATATCCTCAAAAGGTCCATAAGTCACGCTGCTGAATGCTACCACTTTGAATTACGTTGGCAAGCATGAGTTGGACGCGCGGCATCGAATGTCGCGTACGCTTCAAAACAAAAACAATACCCACGCCTACTCCCCCGAGAAATGCCATTGTACCGAAGTAACAAGTGCAATTCTGTCCACAATCGACTCGATCAAGGATTTTTTCCAAAAACCAATAATCGAACATAATAGCGGAAACAATATGACAATCGGAAAACTCACTCGCGACGCCAATCATTTCCTACTACCTTGTCAATAGCTCCGATTCTTGATCGATAATAAGTTACATCGACCGTTCGTAATTCGCGAGATCAAGTGTGAGCCATTTAGGAATCAAACTGATGAGTACCATATTTGATATCTGTAATCATTATACTTCATATTTCCCAGTTTTACAGCTACAACTTATCTTAGCAATTTGGCTTGATCAATTTAATTTTTACGTGACTCAAATGTAATATCGCGTCGATATCTGCTTACGCATCATTAGATTAATTTACTTATTGATAAAGATGCCGATTCAAGATTCGTAGATATCGGTGAAAAATTCGAATGACTCAACGATCGTTGAATTAAATATACGCTAGACAGATGTGAAGTGTATTTTAACCATTAACTATTCGAAATGTATACTTTTTTTATATCCTAAAATACTTCCACATTTATAATAACAGATAGGAATAAGATAAAAACGAGAATTAAACATAATCATGTACATATGCAACAATAAAGTTGGATATACATGGTAAACTAAAACAGTTTTGACGCGTTGTTTACCCGAATCTTTTACTTTTGGATTACGCTGTTCTCATTTGGGATAAATTGTCTAAAAGTTAATAACTACTTTCCTATTGTGTAAATCGTATATATAAAAATACATAATTCCTAAAAAGATCAGTTTCTCTGAAATAGTCATATACCTTTACGGTCTAGCGTTTATCAATGCTTTCTTCACGCAACTGCATTTACAGGTTAGAAAGCATAGTCTCGTTAATATTACGACAACCGGCTTTTGATATGTAGCTAAATATGTTATACAATCTTAATTAGAATTAAAGTAATATAACGAAAATAAGTAACTGTACGTAATCATGCTTTTATTTCAATAAAAATATCAATATTATCAACAACACTCACATATTTATAATTGCAGAAATGATTTGTCTTTTAGACAAGCTTGGTAGTTATAGTGTCAAATACTTGTTTTAACGGCAGATGGTATCTGATAAGCAACTAATCAACTTAACCACCAAAGGCCAATTCACCGCTATATTCAAATCGCTCACCTTTTCTACGATATTTCCCACGCCGGAAGTCCCTCGTCACATTCCAAGAAGCTTCGTCGCACGACGTAATATACCGGCGACGAATCCGCAAATTCGTTCCCTCGGCCGGCCGATACGCGTCCCGCGTGTGTCATCCACCCTCTCTGTCCACCGCACGTTTTCTTCCACAACACTGTTTTTTCACGAACACGATTCAGCCGATATATTTATGATTCCTCTCTAAAAAGAGAGAAGATACGGTTACGTGGAAAGTTGAGTCGCACTGTCAACCGTGGTGACGATAATGCTCGATATCATCAAGAGCCTCAGGGACAAACGTAGAAACGAGAGTGCCGGAATACTGAAAAATATTTTCTTGCCGTGGTACGTAAGTATATCCTTTGTCACCGTCGGTCGAACAGCGATTTCATTCGGCACAAAAGGGAAATCACGGAAAAGAACCAACTATTCTGACTCACGCAGAAAAAATTGCACGAATAACACGGCACGTATTCGGCGTTGATAGTTCGACGAGAGCGTGCCGACTGGACGACAATAAAATCTCATGCCAGTAGACACCACCGCCGCCGCCGTTGCAGCCGAGATTTCCTCGCCGGGAAAAACACGCACACACACACAGTCAACCGTGTTCACAAGAACAAGAGAGAGACCCACGAACCTACCGGTGAATGCTGTCTCATACGCCGAAGAATCCACCGTGTGATAATACGTTCGATCGTAGTCGCTGATAGTGAAATCCTCCCGCACCAGGATCTTGTCTCAAGATTCCGAACATCTCCTGTACACACACTCTCCGTCGGATTCTTTCTCTCCTCGGGTTCCTCCCTGTCGTCTCTCTATCTTTATCTTTCTGTAGACACAAATCTTTCGCGCTTTCTTTCTTCCTTTCTTTCCTTCTTTCCGTTGCAAGGCTTTGCTCTCGTTTACTACGAATCGAGTTGAAATCAATTCACACGAGTAACACCAATCAACTCAATGGCCCTTTGGAGATATCCTAGCATCCTGGTACGGGCGTCGTTTCTGCAGCACGTCGTTCGTCTCCGTAGAATCAAATAGACGATTTCTCTGATTCGAGTTATTTGCTCGCGTCTTAAACGTCCGCGACAAAAGACCGAAATATATACGCACGGTACGCGGCCTTTCGAAGAAACGAAAGAATATACGGAGCACTGGCTACACTTTTTTTTCCTTGCCTGTAATTGTTAGACCTGTTCGCAATACGCTTTCGAACGATGCAGGCATGCAGTATAATTTTGTCGGGACTCGATCGTTCACGGAACACGATTTCGAGCGTGCACGTGCGGCAGAGTACGCAGAAACCGCAAGTTTTTTACGGACACATCCCCGACTTGTCTCCTCCTCGCCAACGCCTACACGATACACATTGCACGCAGCAACGACGCCCCTACACGCCGATGACAGTGGTTCTCAAACCGTTGCATAGTTCGCCACCGCTTGCCGATAGGTTGCGCAACGGAATTACATTCGTTCGATCTTGGAAATCGGTTCTTCCCTAGATTATAAGCCTCATTATTAACGTGTTTTAAATTTTATTTCGTAACTGTAATGACAATTATAGTGCTTTTTAAACACATTAATCGAGTACGAAGCTGTCGTTAAACTTATAATACTTTGTTTCGACAATATCTAGTATTATAAAAATAAGAAATTTTCTACATAGAGAAGAATGTGAAATTAGTACTAGGGAAATTATACATATGCAGGGAATGCGACGTTAGTAATGTTGTTTCACTTTACGAGTAACTTCAGTGTATTATTTTAAATAGGCAAAATGAAATGAAATTTATAGAAAAAGTAATAAATATTTATTAATACATTTGAAAAAACAACTTTTATTCTAATTCATAAGCTTTTATAATACCGCAACAAAGATTTATAAGTTGTATATATTCACTTCCACCATCTAGCAACCTATAATTACATTCCTGAAAACAAAAGAAATAATATATAACGCGTAGTGTTGTAAGTAATTTTATAATCTTACCCCCAGTCTATCTGCAATGAGAGTTTTCTGCTTATCTGTTAATTCATTGGAATATATAATTCTTTCACTGAGCTGCTCAATAACCTGTAGAAATTGTTTAGATGTACAAAATATATATATCGTTTTAACTTCTTTATTTTAACTACTCTTATCATTTTAACTACGTAACCGCTTTTGCTCGCGATCGGCAAATGACACTATGCGGAAGACAAGTGTCGTACCGAAGAGGTTAATAAATAATTTATGTAATAAATAAAGCTCACTTGAGATGTAGCATATGCTTCTAACATAAATTGATCAATAAATTCCTCTGCCTTGCTATAATCTTTTGTCTTGCATACATTCATTAAATCATCCAACCATTTATCAGGTACAATCTACAATTATTTTATTATGCCAATAAAGCAATATTGTCTCTATTTACTATTTAAAATGAGAACTGTACATTACCCCAATAATTTCAATGATATCATCAACAGTAATATCGATGCCTTTGCCTTTCAACCTTGTAATGGACTGCAAACACGTTATAGCGCGTCGTAAATCTCCACCCGAGGCTTCGACAATTTTTAATAGGACAGGCTTCGTTGCCTTCAAGTCCTCCTCTTTACATATATATTCTAATCTTTCAACAATTTTATCTTCTCCCAATGGTTTAAATCTGAATTTTGTACAACGAGAAGTCAAAGGTTCTATGATTCTCGATACATAGTTACAAATTAAACAAAACCGGGTACTATGAGATTCTTTTTCCATAGTACGACGAAGTGCAGCTTGTGCAGCATTAGTCATACTATCTGCCTCGTCTAAGATAATAATTTTGAAAGGTGGACAACCTTTCCCACTAAAACAGAAATATTACTATTATACCAAATTCTCATTTAATGTATTTATAATTTTTTGTATATGATGTGCCTCAGATTGTGCCCTTATCATAGAAATTACAAGAACAATATATAGGACTATTAAAGATAAACATTAATTCCTGTCTGCTTCTGATACAGAACCAAAAATTTAAAGCTTGATAATATACTTGGCAACCTGTTCAAAGCATATTGATTTTTAGTTGGCAATAAGAATTGCAAAATTCTTCTTTTGTAATTCCTGATTACAACTATATTCTTTAAATAGTCTGTATACATAGCTCTATTGTAATTCTCAGACCTTTTACTAATCATCATTGGCTTCATTGGTTATAAGATTAATATGATGATGAACATACTCGTCTCTCATACCACCTGCTGTAAGTTGTGCAAAAGATTTGATTTTATCTCTTACAACTTGGATACCTCTTTCATCAGAAGCATTTAATTCTAATAGTCTTTCTTTGTAAAGGCTACCAAATAATTGTCTAGCCGCGGCTAATATAGTACTTGTTTTACCAGTACCAGGTGGGCCATAAAATAATAGATTTGGAAAATCTCCACCTGTTAAACATTGTCGCAATACCTCTACTACTTCTGCTTGTTCAACAACGTCTTCTACAGTTCTTGGTCGGCTATAAAAGTAACAAAATCTTAAAATTTACCAAATCGATGCAATTTAGGTTATATCAGTAAACTATTACTATTTCTCAACCCATGGCGTTGCAGAACCACTATGTTCTTCCTTCGAACGTGAAGTTGAAACTTTTTTAGGCTCACCAGGCCCTAATTTGCCAGTTTTTAGAAATGCCTGCATAATTCTTTTACCTTGAACTTTCCCAAAGAAATAATCTTAAGAAATAAAACAGGATTTGTTCCCGCGCATTTTGTTTCTAAATACTATTGTACCAACATTACGACTAAAAGTTTCCAAAATAAGTTATTCTCATTCTAACTACATATACTTTGCTACTACAGAAATTTCAGTTGTTTTCGATGATATTTATAATTATCATTGATTTCATTAACTTTTCGCAAATACACATGATTATAAATATTTAATATATCATGCAAATTGCAAAAACATATATTTAAAAAATTTGAACGATTGTTCGACTTCATTATCGAATGCAAATACTGTCCTAGTTCCAAATATCTGTTAGATTAGCAACTACTTACATTCGTTACAAAACGAACAAATTTACCATTTATTCATCGTACCAATGTTGTAAATAAAGGAGTGAATTGGCTGTATTAGTTAATTACGCATATGATAGACAAAAACAAGAATTTTCTTAGAACCGTTTAATCATAATTGCTATGCGAATTATGTATTCGATACTATAACTCGGTTCATTGACTTTATTTTTGTTAAATATTCGTACTGCTCATATCGAAAACAGTTTAAAAAATTAGAATCAATAATTGTAATATTCAATCCGTGATCATCGAATACGCGTAAAAGTTCAATTATCGCGTAAAATGGAGTATCAAAATCGATTGTGTATGAAAAAATACTTAATTTACACAATGGATTTGATGCGGTTTAGTATACATTAAATGAATAGTGGCCAACAGTATATTTCTTATGTGAACGAAATTTTTGTTTAAACATGTGATATTTTTTCTTGACGTTCTTTCAAGCTGTATATATAAATGATGATGTTCTGGATTGTTTCTCTGATAGCAATTATTTTGCATTTCAGTTCTGCACAAACTAGTATGTATTTCATACAGTAGAAACATGTAACTCTATAAGAACTCTGTAAGAAATACTTCTAATTTAAATTTCTTGTTTTTGTAGAACCTGAATCACAAGGTTATTGTGCACCATACAATGGTAAGATTTGTAAGAAATATTTAACTGGAATTGGAAAAGTATGGTTCAATGATTCCAATGATAATCCTGGAGGATGGTTGAATGAACGTATCACAACTAATTTATGGGAGGAATTGATACAACGACTTGTTGAACCATGTCGTTCAGCTGCAGAGGTAATTAATTAATGATGTATTAAATTAATAAAGATATAAAGGTATAAAGAGGTATGAAAGGAATATTTAATCATTTTAGAAAATGCTATGTATGTATGCTTTTCCACAATGTCACAACTCAGTTGGTCTACCATTATGTTATGAAGATTGCATGGCAGTACGTCATCAATTCTGTTTCAATGACTGGGCAATGATAGAGGATAACAAACAGAGAGATATTTATATCAGATCAAGAGGACATTTCACATTACCAGATTGTGAATCACTGCCAAAAGTAGTTAAAGGAAAGACAACCTGTTCTCATATTCATCTGACTGATATGAATGAAGAACTTGTTACATGTAAAGCAAACATAAAGTGTTTTCAGAAGCTATTAAATATCTGTACCTTTAACGTTTTAATCATATTTTATTTCAGATGATTGTGTTGAGGGCAATGGTAGGTTTTACATGGGCAAAGTAAATAAAACAAGATTAGGTCTGGATTGTCAGTCATGGAATGCACAAGTGCCACATAGTCATGATAGACCACCAGATGTCTTCCCCCAAATTCGTTATGGAGAAAATTATTGCAGAAATGCAGGTGGAGAAGAACCAATGCCATGGTGTTTTACTATGGATCCTCATATAAGATGGCAACATTGTGATATTCCTATGTGTGGTATGCATTTAATATTTTATACAATGTAATAAGATATAAGTAATTGAATGCATCTTTTTTCAATAGTTAACTCTTTGACAGTCAATGCTATATATACACAACATTGTACTTTGACAAAGTATTCACTAACTAAATATACAGAAATATATTTGTTCTTATGTTAGTGCATTATATCTTGTTTACAAAGATATTAAAAAGCATGAGTTTCTACTGTTTATTATTAAAAGTTTCTACTAATAATAATTAATAAAAAGAATTTTTCCTACAGCCCAAAAAACATTTGATCCTAAAAAGGTTAATGCAGATAATGTAACAAGTAAAGTTTTGGAAATTGATCCTAAAGACCTAGTAATGGTCACATTATTTACTCCAAAGTTTATATTGATATTATCTTCATTAGTATTTGTAATTATAGCTGGAAGTTTATTATCCATTATTTTAAGTCATAGACTTCATAAAAGACATCAAGGATATAACCCTACAGATAATCAGGTATATTAAAAATGATTAACTTCTATTGACTGTATTACTAAATTAATATAATCTGAAAATGTAATGCCCAGAAAAATATTGCTGAGTCTGGTATTCAAAATCATTACAATATCTATAACGAAAACAATAATGACGTATATGTATATTTTATGTTACATTTATATATAATTTCCAGTATGTCGGTATTGATTTAGATAAATTACCGAGCAACGATGCATACCACAAAACGACTGCACAACTTAATCCGAAATTGGAGAAACTCGAATTTCCAAGAAATAATATCATTTATGTTCGAGATTTAGGACAAGGCGCTTTTGGTAGAGTATTCCAAGCAAAAGCACCTGGTCTTGTTCCCGGTGAAGAATTCACCAATGTTGCTGTAAAGATGTTAAAAGAAGAAGCGTCGGATGATCTTCTCAAGGATTTTGAACGAGAAGCATGTCTTCTCGCCGAATTTGATCACCCAAATATCGTCAAATTATTAGGTGTATGCGCATTAGGTCGACCAATGTGTCTCCTTTTCGAATACATGGGTCGTGGTGATTTGAATGAATTTCTACGATCTTGCTCGCCGGGAAATTATATCATCCGAAGCCTAGAAAAGGACGAACATTTTACAGATTCTCGTCTATCACACATGGATTTGATTAATATTGCGCTTCAAGTAGCATCCGGAATGGTGTACTTGTCGGATCGAAAATTCGTTCATCGAGATCTTGCAACACGAAATTGTTTGATTAATGACCAAATGATCGTAAAGATAGCAGATTTCGGCTTATCGCAAAAAATCTATTTACAAGATTATTACAAAGGTGATGAACAAGATGCTATTCCAGTTAGATGGATGCCTTTAGAAAGTATATTGTACAATAAATATACTGTCGAGTCTGATGTGTGGGCGTTCGCGGTGTGCTTATGGGAAATATTTAGTTTTGCGCTTCAGCCTTATTACGGAATGACGCACGAAGAAGTTGTAAAATACATTAAAGAGGGCAACGTACTTCAATGTCCTGAAAATACTCCACCTGCGGTATACGATCTAATGAAGCTCTGTTGGAACAGAAGACCATCGGATAGACCTACTTTCAGAACAATTTATAACACCCTTGATACTATAAAATACAATCTGGAAGCAGAAAATAAGTCGGACAGTGTACCATTGCGTATTCACGTTTGAGCCTGATAATAATTTGTCTCTGAAGAGGGAATTCAATAATTCATATAATTATGAAGTAAGTGATATTTATGGAAAGGTAAAAGTAAGTAAGTGGTAAATTATACTACATGTTACACACAACTGCCTTTGTTACGTTTGTTATGTAGCCTTATTAAATTAATTGATCAAAATATTTATAAAAAATGTGTTAATAGTAACACGTATTGGCTACTATTATGTTTACAAGAATGAATGCACAAATGCATTAAGTTAAATCGGAAAAATATTTTTATTTGATTTATACCTAATTCTTGTAAATATACATATACACTACTAAATCAATTGTTTTCTACAAAATGAAAAATTTCAAATTTTGCTCGATCATATTTACAATTACTAAATTTAAATACTATTTAAAATAATTGTCATAATACTTTTTTAGATTATAAAGCTGCTAACAATTTATTTATTACTAATTTATTTAAATTTATATCGAAACTAAAGAACTGAAGACTGGTATGTATGACATATATATAATCAAGATACTGTATGAGTGTTTCAAAATAATTTTCCACACATACAAATTTTAATCTTCAATTTGCGTTCTGCCTATTGTGATTTCACGCATTCCGTCAACGACTTTTACAATAATATAACATGTTTCTAACTGCCATTAAAAAATAAAATATACATAACAGTCCAATCTAATGCTAAGAATAAAACACAACAATACAAAGATTTCAGTGGTAGTACTACCATTATAGAATATTTATTATATAAGTAATCAGAATCCAAAACTCAATGTGTTTTTTCGAAATAAATAATTGATTAATTTGTGTGTTGCTATTAATATTAACTTGTTTCTATTTACAAAAAGTTAGAAATATGCTTATAAAAAGATACGGTATTGCTGTTAACTCTTCTTAAAAGATTTCATAAAATTTTCTTATACAAATATAAGAATGATGCTTAAAATGTTTGTTTAATGTTTTACCAAAAAAAACTTAGTTTTAAGTGATAAAGGTTCAATAATTATATTGTAAGAATAGTGGATTTTTTGCATTATATTTCATTTTGACATAATTATGAACATACAAATTTATATAATTATTTGTATAAATTTTTAATGCTTGTTATTTCTATGATTAAAAGTGTAGAGATTGATGATACATTTTTTAACTAACATAATTTTTATACTATCTGTGAATATAAAGACACTTTTATCTTTTCCTCTACTTCTTCTTGGTACATTTTTATGAGGAATTGAAGACGAATGTACTAGTTGACCTGATGATTATGGCTATATGCATACATATTTATATGTGTAATTGTATGTACTAGATATATTTGCAATGCTTTTTTTTACTTCTTCAGATCAGAAATATCTTTAGAGACATACATTATGTTATAGAAAACAGACGAACTTTCCTATATATAAATATATATAAAGCAAATAGAAAAATAATAATGTTTTGCTAAAGCCTAAGACAGATAATACTGAATTTATATAACTATGTGAACAATTTGGCTATAAAAAAATGGGTTTATATTTAGCAACGTTATATGTAAACTGTCCTTAATTGTTAGATGTTAGATCGTTGCTGTACCAAAAAACATAGCCTATTTAATGTACGAAAAATAATATCATTAAAAGCTATTATGACAAATGTTATAGTAAGAAGATAAAAAACATTAAGTGAGTGTATACTGTGCAACTGTTATACATAAGATTTGAAAGTAAATCATTACTATGGTGTAAACGGTATTTAAATGAATGTTTTACTCATAACACGATTATTTCAATATATTATTAAATGCAAAAAGTTGTCATAAATGAAGTAAAACTTAGATCGAAATTTTTAACAATTGCGCTTTACTTTTATTTCAACTTTTTGTGATATAATTTAATTTTTTTCAACGAATATTAGAGCTGTCTAGTGCTATTGTTCATCAATGTATTTGCATTCCAATAGATGTGTCACTTATCAGTATTTTCACAAGGATCTGTATGTATATGTTGCAAAGAGCATATTCATTTATGAATGTTCTATCCTATGCTTAAGTACATAGATATGTAAACTAATGAATGTCATTGTCCAGTTGATTTCTCAAGGCAATTAATTAACTCATTTGGTTGAGCATTAACAAATATGATATACTATATGCAGAAAGTGTGAATGCAATGTTCAAATGCTCTTCCACAAATCTTTTTATATATGACTTTTATATTGTGAAGAAAAGACAAAAAACTTTTACCAAGTCTGTGCTCTTACATCTGTGTATTTGTATTCTGTATAAGTAGAGTTGTACGTGATATAATATTACGATAATACGTACACAATACGTATTGTCTACGACCAAGAAACTTCTGGTATTATATACTTCGTTGAGTTCAGATGTGTTATTGACAATGGTAGACTCTATTCTGAATTTTATGTACAACAAACTAATCTAATCTGTAAAAACATAGAGATTCCTCGATACTCTATTTTAAACTTTTAATGAAATTCATACATGTGCAAAAAATAATCCAATGTTGCATCTTATTTTATTGTAAAGAATCATGTTTAACTAAAGAGCTAGTAAAGATTGTGTGCTTTATACTGTGAATATCGAGGAATTATCAATGAAATACTACGAACATGTTGAAGAAGAACTGCTATGAAACTTTTACTGATGTACAACTTTTACAAGGAATAAACAACCAATTTCATATATTCCATAGCCTTTTTTTTTCTTTATTTCCATGAAGAATGCAACATCGGGATGACAAATTATAAAACCAAGTACATTGCTCCATAAATATATTTCCGCATATTTTTTTCAATAAATTAATGTCAAATCATCATTATGTATATAAAAAGCAGATATTTATATTGTATTATACAGTTAACATTCTTAAAGCTACCTTACACATGAAATATCTTATGTAGGCGATATAATAGTCATGTATATCTGCATTGCAGATATGTATATCTAGTATACTATTATTTGAAAATAATCCATATGTTCTAATAAGATGTTTCGAAATCTATACGTTTTTCACATGGAATAATGTTCATAAAATTAGGAATAATAATTTGTTGCTTTATAGAAGAACAAAATATCTGATATTCCTTTTTTCAACTAGCTATTCAATAAAAAGAAATAACTTTTCTTATGATTAACTAAACATGTACACTATACAAATCAATTATAAAAATCTATAAAATACAAACATATTGATAATATATTGTAACATCAAAGTACATTGTTATTAGATTTAGTTACTGTTTCAGTGATACGTTACCATAAAATTATATATCTATCAACTGCAATTGTGTAAAGTGATACTAAAATTAAAAACTAGAGAAGTAAGTATTATGGAATACTAAAAACAACTTTGGTTTATTCTTTGGTTTTTGACAAATATTAATTCTTCATACGAAGTAACATGACTTCTTCTACCCTTCTGATACAATTTAGTATTAAGATCTTAAGTTTAATTACAGTAAAAACCACATTTTTTAATTTTATAAACCTGGTTTCAATTTATGCAAGATTACTTTTTAACTGGTGTAAATAAAAATTCTAGCATTTTAAATTTATTAATCTATCGAGAACGCGTAATGTTAAAAAATGTAGTTCAAAATAATTAGATAATGTATATATTTCAGTCCATATTATGTCGGGCAGCATTACATTATTACCTGTACTGCACTTTATATATCATAAGATCATCATTGACATTTTCATGTGCAACATATGATCATTTTTACTGCTTATACTACAATGTTTTATATTTTCAAAATAAACTAATTAAGAACACAAATTTGAAAAATTTAAATTTAAAATACTGACATTTTAAGTCATTACAGCTACGTTATTGCATGATAAAACTTATTTAATAATAAATACTCGAAAATGACAAAGGAATGTTCTTGACAAAATAAAACTAGAAAATTATAAAAAGTGATATACCATCATATCGTCATAACTTTATATAAAGTTAAAACATACTGTTTGTTATCTATCTAATTGCAGTATTTAGTATCTCGTCTTTGATTTGCTAAAATAAGTACCTCCATACTCTTGTAAATATGATCATTGACATTCTTCGCAATCAAAATGCGTCTTTTATATTCTGAAATTGTCTTACCGCTAGATCAACTGGTAGATCAAATTTATAATTTGTAAGACGATCAAGAGTGTGAAATGCATCTTGAAAACCTGTTTGTAACAATAATATGTGAGTATTGTAACGAGATATATTGCAATTAAAATCTATGCTGTTAAAATCAATATTGCTTCTATATGAATATTTTAATTACCTGTTTTTACAACATAACTCCACGAGGTATAATGATTTTCAAGAAGATATTGACATTGCAAAATAAGTTTTAACCAAACGACAAGTTTGTTAGCACTATAATAAGAGAAACACAAATCTTAAATGCTTGTACGTCGCAAGATGATTTGTAGCAACATTTACTCACTTAAGGGATGCACATATAAATGCCTTAAAATGAGAATCATAACTCCTTTTGTATGGATTATGTGATGCAATGATATTCCCAATTGTTGTTAGTAAACTCTGAAAATTTTTTAACATTTTTAAAGGAACAAATTCGATTAAAAATGAGAGAAAATATTAGCAAATGTAAAATAGCTACCTGTTTAGAAGAAACAACTCTTCCACCTGCTAAATCAAGATTAAAACTTTGGGATAATTTTTGTGCCGGACTGGAATTGTAACGATGGCCGTTTTTAATTTCATAATACTTTAATACTAATTCCCATGCATGCATTAAATTAGAAGCAGAAGAGTTTCTTTGGGGAAAACATCCCACAAATGGTACTACACTGTTAGAACGTGCATCAGACATTAAACCGTGTTGTATTAAATCACGTATGGAAGTTGCTAGATGCTTCCTTACAGCGGATGTTACTCTGGCATTGCAATGTGACATAGAATCTGAATCCGAGGCGTAATCGTTTTCATTAGCGATATCGTCATCTTCCGGGTGACGTTCAGTTTCGGCAATGGTCTCTATAACATGTTCAACTGCAAAATCTAATCTTGTTCTTAAATCGCGCCAATTATGTACAGAATTTTTCTTAAAATTTCTTCGAACTCTTTCACTACCACATCCTAATTGAGACACTATAAACATATGCAACAGGGCTACAACTTTCTTAACAGTATTCAGAGTCTTTGTTCTACTTTCCTCCTCTGTTTTTCTGTTAAACGATTTCTTAGCATATGAAGTAGAACCAGCAGAACCACTGGTATGTACTGGACATGCACAGGTGCAAGCTAAAGTTTCTGTATTGACTTCTCCTTGAAGATAATTTATAAAACGCTCTAAATCTGCAATTTGTGTTTTTAATTGAGATACTAATTGCTCCTTCATTTTCAAAGGGCTGACAATCTGTAAATTATTTTTTAACCTATTTAATTTTAACTCATCTATCATTATTTCCTTAGTAATTTATCTTATATGAAATAATTTACCTGACTTATAGCATAATCTACTTGCCATCTTAAGTCATCAACTGGTAATTTACAAAGATCATCAACATTGAAATTTAACTTTTCTTTTAGATGGTCTGAAAAAATAATGAGATCAACCTAAATTTCAATCAAATAGATGTTTATCTTAATAGTAATCTTTGAAACTTACTGATTATAATACTCTGCCTCTCTAATATCATACTTTGTGGTAAATCTGCATTACCAGTTTCATAAGCATATTTTTCTAAGTCTTCTAACTGAGATTTTAGTTGACATATTAATTCTTTTTGTTTTGTTCTTTGTAATGCCATTTTAGATTCAACATCAACATCATTTATTACACCAGATATCTGTTAAATATTATATACTAAAGTAGCTTACTATCTTTTCTTTTTGTAATTATCATATTATACATATATCAATATTCAGGAATTAAATAAGGATTAAAACATATGGCACGAGATTAATAAATTTATGTACTCTATGAATAGTTTACATATAATGATATTTATTTTCTAATAAATAATATTTAAGATTAATAATGAAAGCGTATCACAGATTTATAAGCATGTTTATTTACAAACAAAGTGAATACAAACACAGATAAAATACATAAAAAATATAAAAATAGAGGAAAGAAATAAATACAAGAAAAAATAAAAAAGATAATACAAATTAAAAGAATAAATAAATTGCAGGTACATTAGATTTTTATGTAGCTTACGCTTTGCTTGCAGGACATTGGAGAAGTTGGTGTGATTGATCTACTATCAAGTGATAAGTTATTTGGAACATCTGGTATTCCTCTAAAAGCAAACTCTTCTAACTCTTTGAGCAACGTTTCTTTTTCATTTGCAGGTGCATCCACAATTTGTCTTAAACGAAATTGAACCTGTGGTAGTCGCAGGTAGATAGATATTAAAGATATTAGATATTTATACTTTTTTATGTGAAACAAATTCATGAATTGTATGAACTGTATTTTTAAACCCATTTAATACCTGAGCAAAGTGGGTAGTCAATGCTATAAGAGATGAATTTAACATCTCCTGTTCTTCCTCAAGCACTTTTAGCCTCTCCATATCATATGATAAGCTATTAGAATATATTAAAAAATGTTTATAAATGAAATATTTTGCTATTTAGAAAGCACTACTATCAACAGCACTTCTGTTGTATCCATCAAAGATTAAGTACTCACTTCTCCATGTTATCAACATATTTATATTCATCGGCAAAGTCATTATCACCATCATTTGCTCCAACAGGCGCCCATCTCTCGCCTGATGGCCTATCACTTTCATCTGAATTTTCGATATCTTCATTCTCGCTACCCTTATATTCGCTAGAACTCATTTTCTTCTTGTTTACGATCCCGATTTCTTTCGAAAATCTTAACTTGCATTCGTAAATTTCTTTATGCCGATTATAGCTAATACGAATGAACGTGTTGTTATGTGATGACTTTTTTTCTTTATTTGTACATATTAAAAATTTGATTTTTCTTATAACACATCAGAACGTATTGCATCTTCATCACGTTTAATCCATTAATTAACTTCTGCGCACGTGTACGAGTAGAAACGTCACTTGTCACTGTCGATTTTGCGCCTGCTAAGGTGCATCCTCATGTTTAGTACTCGTTCATTTTACGAGAAATACATTGCGTTACAATTAATTCGTGTCATACTGCGAATAATATTTAATAATGATTTGTCGCATCGAGTATGCGGTTTTCATAAAGCAACACGTTTATACCAATATATTTTTATACAATCTTCATTTCCTATGTTAGTCATGTAAAAATCTACTAACTATGGTGCAGCAATATAGTAGATTAAACGTCGGGACATTATGAACTGTTATGAACATACCATTAGTTTCATCGAAGGTTTTTCAATAAATGATAAACTGGTATGCGTAAGCTTATTTGACTCTTACAAATGTGTCAAATTATTGTACCTTCGAGAGGACGGTCTTTGTTGATTTATTGCATCGTGATTTGTTACTATTCTATTGACTTTATAAAAGAATAGAATATGTAGCAAATAAACAGTGAGATATATTCATGAAAGAAATCCTTAAAGAGAAGTATCGAATAACCTACATCTCTTGACATCTAACTAGTGTTGATCAGCGTATCGTTACGTTTTGTGAATTATTCTCATCAGCTTGAGAAGAGAATTTACCGACAAGTGCATCGCGTATCGTAGTATCCGCGATGATGCGGCAAGAAATAACTTTGACGAAGCCGGCACGTAAAAAACCGAACATTGATGCATCGATAGCTGAATGATTTTCAAAAATACTATAGAACAAGAATTTTTAGCGAGTCCTTGTTTTGTTCTCGGATCTATCCTTTACCATAAATACATCGATGATCTTTTAAAGAATCGTACTTGAAGTGTTATAGGTAATAGAAAATAGGAATCTTTTGATATTTTATGAATCTCCTTGATTATTATTAAAAAATATTACATACTTTTAATAAAAATTGCATATTTCAAGAAAACATTTGTTTATAGGCATACATGAAATGGGTAGTGCTTGGTGGCAGTGTGCTGCATGTTTGAGAACACAAGAAGAAGATATCTGCGAGTTGCATTTGAATAATTGTAATCTTTATGATGTACCACCTGACGTGTTCATTTATGAAAGGACATTAGAGAAATTGTATCTTGATGCCAATAGGGTAAATATAAATATCAATTGATTTCTCACGCTGATCTAAGCTCTTTAGATTTAAGGATATTCTTCTATATTTTATTACAGATAAAGGATCTTCCAAGGCCACTGTTTCAGTGCCATGAATTACGAGTACTTTCTCTCAGTGATAATGAAGTCACAACATTACCACCCGCCATAGCATCATTAATTAACTTGGAATATTTAGACCTCAGTAAAAATAGTATGTGTATAAGAGTACTATGTATTCTTGGATTTTGCTTATGTTCAATGTATTTATAATTATTATATTTATTTTTTTTAGGTATTAAAGAGCTACCAGATAGTATAAAAGAGTGTAAAAATCTTCGTTCTATAGATATCAGTGTTAATCCATTTGAACGTTTCCCTGATGCTATTACACATATTGTTGGATTAAGAGAATTGTATATAAATGATGCATATATAGAATATTTACCAGCAAATTTTGGAAGACTTTCAGCTTTGAAAACGTTAGAACTTAGGGAAAATAACTTGATGACATTACCAAAGAGTATGAGCCGTTTAATAAATTTGCAAAGACTTGATATTGGTAATAATGATTTCACTGAATTGGTATGTTTATATTTGCCATGATTACTATTTATTAGCCAACATATATTAATGTTAATTTTATTCTTTTAGCCTGAAGTTGTTGGGGATCTTATCAATCTCACTGAATTGTGGATAGATGGTAATGATATTAGACGTGTACCACTCAACATTAATCAGCTTTACCGTTTAAATCATTTTGACTGTACAATGAATGCAATTCATATTATACCATCAGAAGTAGAAGGATGGAGAGATATTTCGATTATGCATCTTTCATCAAATGAAATTTATCAGTTACCAGATTCCCTTTGTTATCTACGTACAATTGTGACTCTTAAAGTTGATGACAATCAATTGAATGCACTGCCAAATGACATTGGACAAATGTCAAGCTTAGAGGAGCTTATAGTTACTAAGAACTTCCTTGAATATTTGCCATCATCAATAGGACTTTTGCGAAAATTACATTGTTTAAATGTAGACAATAATTACTTGAGGTGCCTTCCACCAGAGATTGGAAGTTGCACAGCATTATCGTTGCTATCATTGAGATCGAACAATCTAACTCGAGTTCCACCTGAATTGGGACATCTATCCTCTTTAAAAGTACTCAATCTTGTAAACAACTGCATCAAATTTTTGCCTGTTTCTATGTTGAATTTGAGTAATTTGAAAGCATTATGGCTGAGCGACAATCAAAGTCAACCATTAGTGCCATTGCAGCAGGAATTCAATTGTGAAGAGGACATGATGGTGTTAAGTTGCTTTATGCTTCCACAAAAACCGCGGCAAGAACTTGAACGTAAGTATTTATATTTGTTTAATAATATATGCACATCTAATAAAATTTCGACCATTGTATAGTAGTACATAATTGTAATTTTTAAAATAATATCTATACAATGTGGTACATTATTGCTGCTAGTGGATAATGAGGAAGAAGATGAAGAATGAAATGGTAAAGTACTTGCGAATAAATCCACTAGTATATGTTAATATTGTTTTCATTTAAACATATTTTGTAGGTTTTAGCATAATTAAATGTATAATTATAATTCTATGTCTTTTGCATACAGAAGTAACACCAGCTGTAGGATTAATTTCAAGTTCGATTGTTGGTACTGGAAAAAGAATATGTTTTGCTGCTGAGGTAGAATCTGAAATCCCTAGACAACTTCATCGAGCACCGACTCCCTACCCTAAAGAGCTGCGCAACCTTGCTAGGCATGCCCGAAATTTGCATCATCAATCAGCGCATGATCAAAGAGTAAGTAAGATTAGAGACACGCTTATCCTTTGCTCTATTTCCATTCATCATTTTTTTTATTAATTTGACAATAAAAATTTTAAATCAATACGATATAGAAGTAGCACTGAAGAAAGTAGAATCTTCAAATACTATCAATGTTTTTATTATATCTTTTTGTATGCATTTTTGCATAATCAATATCTGAATTACAAGAAAATTGGCAATTGAAACTTGCAGATGCATTTAGAACAGGAGACTATGATCAAAGAAGCTATTATTGCTACAACTACTCTGGACCTTACCTCAAAATCTGGGACCTGTCTTTCACAAAGTTTATTTAATAAGGTATTCATTAGAGAATTATGAAAGAAAGACAATTTATATGACTCCAGAGTATTTATTAGTGATATTCATAATATAAAAAATTAAAATATATAAAAAAAAGCAAGTGAAATTGTGAAATTAAACGACAAAAAATATAATTTCAATTTGAACAAAAGTTAAACTGGTATAAAGTGGGATTGGATAAGGACAATATTAAGTCTTCCGTGGGTAAAAACTTAGATCAACTAATTAAAGATTTTTTCTGTAGGATTCACACTCATCGTTATCACCAATTGAACATTATACATCAAAGGCATGCAAGAATAATAGTTCTATGGATATTGGAACAGAGCAATCTGTTTCAGAAGAATCTTCCGATGAAGCAAACAAGACCGTACTTGCAAAAGAAAAAAGTCCGGATATCCGAGAAGCAAAATATATTCGTAATCCCACGTCTGAGTATCTTTCCAAAACTCCAACAGTAGCAGATTATGTAAATTCTACTTGGAAACCGGATGAGTACTCGAAGGCAAACACAGCAAAAATTGTTGAATCAGACAAATTTATTGAACCCTATAAGACTATGCCTATTGCCGCGAACAACAAAAATACCGATCATGTTCAAGTGTCGAAAGTAAATGAAGTTCCACCCGTCCCGCCACCGTACCATATTGCAGCCGCATTTTCAAAAAAGGCGGCACTTTTTCAGCAATTGAATCAATGTAAGTCATTTCTTGTAATCATTTCTAAAATGATAATACACACACACACACACAAAATACGAATTTTATATTCTGTCACATTATAGCAGCTCCATTAGACTTGTCAACGATGGCTCCTCCACCAATTGATATGAACATATCAAATTCGAAAATATCGCAGGGAACGGAAATACAAAATTATGATGGAGAACCATTTAAAGTTGAAGAGCATTTATACAATGACAAATTTGTATTGAATAATACAGATATGACAAACACCTCAAGTAACGATGGAAATATAAACTCTTTTAGCGGTACCGATCAACACACGTTAACGGATTCGATCGATCCAGCAGCACAGTCATTAGAAGGAGATCGATCGTTAAAACCAAGTAGAATTCCTATTTTAAAGACGAAACATTTGGAAAGTACGAATTCTATTTCAAATAGCGATCTATCGAACAAATGTACAAATTCTTCTGTTGAAGACTATGAAGCTTCAAAGATATTGAACGCGTCGTGTATACCAACATCTCCTATAACTGGGAAAAAATATCGAAGTCCGCTATCTATGCAACCTAAAGTTTCGGATCGACCAAAAAAGATAATAAACGGATCTGTTTCAAATAATAATACTTCCTGTGATAATTTATCCATAAATGCAATAAACTCGAGTCCAGTTACAAATTCAAATATGGAAGGAATTTCAAAAACTTCATCTATCGAAACGACGAATACGAACAGTTCGATCAACATAAAAAATGAAACTAGCTCTGGTCGAAGTACTCCAATTCTAGCGAATAATAAATCTTTAAATGAGGTGACCAATTCTAACATTGATAATTATAAAGTTGCTGGACTGAATGAGTCATTACATTCAGAAAGAAAACCAAGATTTAAATGGATGTTTGGGCCGCACAAAAATGCTAACGTAGTATGTTTTATTTTTTTCGTCTTTTTTTTTTTTTTTTTGAACATAATGTCTTTATGTATATTTTACAATTCATAATTATTGCCTTTACAGTTGCCTGTTCAAGTGAAAAAAAATCCAGGTCTTGGTTTCAGCATTGCTGGTGGAGTGGCAGGCGCAGAAACCGTAAATATCCAAAATTTAAAACATACGCGATATTTTCTATCTTTTAATCATCAGTTTTACTTATCCTAGGGAATAATTGTGACTAAAGTGAATCCAGATGGTCCAGCACAAGGTACCCTTCGACCAGGAGATAAGATCTTAGAAGTCGATGGTATAGATTTCACTAAATCTGATCATAACAATGCTGTCGCTGTCCTTCGAGCAACCGGAGCAGTAGTATCTATGATGATTAGTCGTCATCAATGACATCCAGTTAGAAAACGCAATGATATCTTCTTTTTATTTTCTGTAACTAGTGATCAGTTTATACACATCAAACTGAATACATTTCACGTAAGTTTTTTTAGTTTTTTTTTTGTCTTTTTTTTTTTTTTTTTTGAACATAATGTCTTTATGTATATTTTACAATTCATAATTATTGCCTTTACAGTTGCCTGTTCAAGTGAAAAAAAATCCAGGTCTTGGTTTCAGCATTGCTGGTGGAGTGGCAGGCGCAGAAACCGTAAATATCCAAAATTTAAAACATACGCGATATTTTCTATCTTTTAATCATCAGTTTTACTTATCCTAGGGAATAATTGTGACTAAAGTGAATCCAGATGGTCCAGCACAAGGTACCCTTCGACCAGGAGATAAGATCTTAGAAGTCGATGGTATAGATTTCACTAAATCTGATCATAACAATGCTGTCGCTGTCCTTCGAGCAACCGGAGCAGTAGTATCTATGATGATTAGTCGTCATCAATGACATCCAGTTAGAAAACGCAATGATATCTTCTTTTTATTTTCTGTAACTAGTGATCAGTTTATACACATCAAACTGAATACATTTCACGTAAGTTTTTTTAGTGTATATATTTCTTTAACTAATATTAGTATATACCAATATACTTATAAATACACAAAAGAAATGGAAGTTCCATTTTGTTTCTCCTGAACGCTTGTTTTCATGGTAGTAGATCATATTCCCTTTGATACTGTCAAGCAATTGAATGACTGAAACAGCGTTACCAAAGGTGGGAGTGATGGTATTTATTTGAGGAAAATATTTCTGGCTTCCAGTGGTTACAACTTGTGAACTAAGCTTTTTAAAAACAGAAATAATTTTGAGGAAGAATTCTATTCTTAGGTTATACCATAGATTAGAAACGCGTTCTCTTGCACAATTTAGGACGAGGAAAAGAATTTGAAATGTGATGTATAAAAAAACTATTTTTAAGAAAAATTCCTTCATGGGCCAATCCACAGCTTACTCATATTATTTGGTTATATAAGTAGGTAAAATAGGAACTATTTAGTGAACAATCATAAGATGATAAGTTTCTTCCCGAATTTCTATCTCCAAAAGAATGCATATATTTGTGTTGTTTTATGACGTTGATTATATTTGTGTCAACTCACTTGTTCTCTTTGCAGAGAGCTGACAATGTGCCAGAAACAAAATACTATTTATTACTCATATATATTTAAAAAAATATTATATGAAAATGAATATATATTATGCATATATATTATATACAAACATTATCTCTGTCAACTAGGCGAGATTCTTACAGACACTTCTTTTGTGAGATATCATGTGAAGTACATATTTTGTATATGTAGAAAAATGGTTTTTCTACAAATTTATCCTAATGCATAGACTTTAAAAGCAAAAAGAGTTCCATAATTAACTTGCTTGTACTATTTACAGTTCGTATTTAAAAAATGATACACTTCAATTTCATTTGAAAAACATATCTGTGAGAATCTTATTAATGTAAAGAAAAAAGGAATGTTCTTCTATGTGCCGTAATTTTATTGGTTATGTTTTTAATAGTTTTGTTACTATTGGTTTGGATTCTTTTTCTTTTTTCTTCCTTTTTTAATAAAAAGATACTTATCAGAAATATAAATTTACATTTTTCAAACAATTTTATATATTTTTGCTTGCCATTGTTTTTGATAAGTTTGTTTTATTAGATACTAGCAATTCTCTTATCATAAAGTCAGCTGTTAAGTGTTTGATAAAATGAGATCTTTATTGTTATGGTTGTGAATTATTATATTTCATTCATTCTATGTAAAGGAACAAATGTATGTACCTTGTAGGAACTGTTTTCGAACAACAGTTATTAATATGGCATAATAATGCCAAATCATAAGATAAAACACTACTTTTCTATGTTAGTGAAGTTATATTAAAAGAAAAAAGAAAAAAAGAAAGTTATTCATGTAAATGGAGTAGAGCTGTGAGATAAATGTTTAGAAAGGTTGTATGGTGATGTATAGCACAAGTGAACTATTCACGTCAAGTTATGAGTTGTAATATAGTATACTATTTGTATCCCAGAACTTTTATAGCAAGATAACAATATTGCACTTCACTTTACCTCGCATATACAAAACAATTACTATGCACATTCTCTTTATTTATACATTTTTTTACATTTGAATTAGTTTCATTAGTTATAAGGACATTTAGAAGAAATGGTTTATGCATTTCTATAGATATGTTTAAGTAAATATGTATTGTTTGATTTTATTGCTTTCTATATTTTTTTGATGTTTTTCAAAGTCGATACAAAATATTTTTCGATATTCATTTTTGTAGTAATTTTTTAAATAACTCGCTTAAAACGATATTACACTTATATGGTAGTTATACAGTGGAAAACTATACATACATGAGCTTGTGTATGTTCAGCATAACTTCAAATATATATGAATTGTTCTCTTCTATAATTATCAGAGCTTTGAATATCTCAGTACATTATTTGAAACTATAACGAAGCATAGAACTTCCAGAATCAAGAATTATAAAAAAAAATGTTATATTTACAGAAAGATTTGTTTCGCGAAATTACCGGTGATACTTATTCACTCAATAAGAAATACACCTTCTATGGGAAATACGTAGAATTTTGATATATTTTAGAAGTAAACTGACAAAAAGAACAAATTATTTTTGATTTAGGTATTTTGTGAAAGTAATTTTAGATGACTATATACCCAATTCTTAGTAAAAATTATATATGTTTTGATTATTTTTTATGAGTACATGTAGTTCTATAATATATAAGGTATACATAAAAGCAGCTTGATATTTAAATTTTTGAACTAACTATATTATCAATAATAATCTGCATACCTAGTCATATTGGAAAGTAAGAAGTATAATCGAAGGTGGATTATATTTTCGCCTGATAATACTTGTATTTTTATTAATATTTTGTGTATTTTTTTAACATCAATTTTATGTATAAGATTTATAATAGAAAAGAATGCTTATTTATTGTATGCTTTATGTTTCAATAAATATTCTATTTGTTTATACATAACAAATGTACAAACTGGATTTTGCATATGTATTAATACTTTTTTAGCAAGATATAACATCTCATTTTAAATATTATTTTATGCTCAAATACTCAATTAATGTCTTCTGCAGCATAAATTGAAATTTTGATTGTCAAAAAAAATTTTGGACCATGAAATGCATATACAATCTTTTCTACTACTCTAACTACTAAACAGACTGACTACTTTTTGAGCAAATATTTAAGTGGCATTTAATGGAATGTATTGATTGTATGGAAAATGTGTGATTAAAAATGCGATACATGAAACTGTATATATAAAAAATTGAAAATATATAAGTGTACAAGTGGTTGTATTCATTATTTAGATCTTCATTGCAATCAATATTTTATTCGATATTAGTTTTTAATAATTTCTTCATTTTATAAGATTAACCAATGCTTTTAATAATTTGATTGAATAATATTCCAATTAAGTCGAAGAAAAAAGTTATTAAAAAGACAACATTAATTAGTACAACCACTTCCTTGACATATTTTTTTGGAATATCTGTTCAAACAATTTGTATTACAATGTATGATAGATTAAATGTACAAGAAATGCTCACAGTGGTTTAACTGGTCATCATATAATGACTACCATACAGTTGTATGAAACTTTGAATTTGTTAGAAAAAGATATTTTACCTTTCTTAAAAAGTCCTAGTTGGTTGTGCAGCAATAAATAAATTAATATTTACGTACAAAATGTTTAAACATTTCACTATACTCTACATATCAATCCTTATCGATAATATTCAAGTATGGTATAAAGTTTTTTAATCATTCGTAACTTATTACGTATAAAAAATTCCCATAAAAAACATCCTTACTTCAAAATACATTTTCACGCTCCTAACAGTAAAAATACAGGGTTTTCAATGTAATGTTTCCAGAGATTTGAATACTTAGCCATTGTGACGCCATCCACTATTCGATGATCGGCAGCCCAGCTAATAGAAATTATGTTTGCGGCTTCTACGTTTCCTTTATCGTCGAAGCGTGGTAATTTTTGCACTCTTCCAAACGCGCCGATCACAATTTGTGGAGGAAGAATCACCGGTTTTGTATATGTACCGCCCACCTGTCAATGACGATTGAATCTGTTTTAAATTGAATCTATGTCGTATGATCAACAAATGGATAATGAATCGTAAATCGTTTGTTTGAAATTTTTTATATAAACTACTCAGAAGCCAAATTGATCACTCCACTTCATAAAAATTTCGAAATTTTAGTACTAAAATACATCATCAATGTTTCATTTTTCGGGAAACAAACGATTAACTTTAATCTAATCGATCAATTTGGCTTTTATGTGATTTATATAACGACTGTCTTCGGATTTAAATTCAATTTGGATATAGTTTAAATCTAGATTGAATTCTTTCGATCTAAAATAGTTTTGTAATTCAATTTGATCATTTAATAATCGATATGTTTCAATTCATTACTAATTTAACACCATTTGGAAATAATTTCTATACTTACAACACCTATGTTCGACAGTGAAAACGTTGTATTCGATAAATCGTTTGGCGGGATCGAAGATTTTCTTCCAAGTTCTTGAAGACGGTTTAATTGCTTTGCGATCTCTATAATATCTAAATCCTGAACATTTTTAATATTCGGTACAATTAAACCCTCAGGTGTATCCATAGCAATACCGATGTTATGCCTCTTTTGAATACGTAACGTTTGATTTTCTTCATCAAGCCATGCGTTTAGCTGTGGCACCTTTTCTAATGCTCTGGATGCGGCTTTTATGAAAAACGGCATCAAGCTTAAAGAAACGCCTTGCTCTTTCACCGAATCCTTCACTTCGTTTCGGTAGTCCATCAGTCTGTTAACGTTACACTCATCGCTGTACACAAAGTGTGGTATACTCTGTAAACATGAGTTGGTTTCGTAAATTTTTCGCAGCGGACTCGTTTAATTACATGTTTATTTTTGGACGTTTATTTGGGACATGGAATTAACGACGTTAGCATATAGGAGACCGTGTACACGTCATATTTGAACATGAAAGATAAGGGGTTGGGTGATGAGATGATTAAAATGGCCGTATTTTCCCGTTTGAACGGTGTTTCGTCTGTCAAGGTTGACAGGAAATTCGGGCCGAGTAGATGCTCGTATTCGATCGATCGCTATCAATCGTGTGTGTCAACGTCACTTTTAGACGACGCACTTCTGTTGTCGGTATCGTCGTGATTCGCGCATTTCAACTACAAACATAGTACATTGAAATTTTTCTGGGCAACGAGACTCGTGCGCTTGTTACTATTATTAAATAAAAAATTTATCTTCTCTTTTCTTGTTATCTATGAAAAGGTTGTCAGGTTATTTAATCCGCAAACCAATTATCGATTAACTGGCCGTTTATTTAGTTACTGCAACCACGCGGACACGCGATAGACAAAATTTTGCTAATCTTGCAATTTATGACTGGTGTGCGTTTTAACGCAAACTGCGCTTATTAATTTCGCAGTCTTAATGCATTCGTTACGGCATTACTTGAACTTCTTTTCATTTTCGCAGAAAATTCATTTTTAATAATAACATCCGAACAACTTAAGTTAGATAATTTATATCTTTAATTTTGTTTTTTTAATTTTGTTGCAGACTTCCCCGAAATAAGATTGAAAATAAACTCGATTAAAATAATAATAAAATATAATATCATTCAATATAAAAGAAAAAAAGCAAAATATATATCTTCGAAATTTCTGTTTGCGTAATATTTTCTCGAAACGATAGAGAAATCCAGCTTACCAGGGACTGCGTCATCGTTTTCCACATATGCTTGGCATAGCCTTTTATCGGTATCACCGTTTCCGCCGTTGATTTTTCTTCGACCCTTTTTTTCTCGGAGCTAGTAGACATTTTTTCCAAATGAGTCAATATATCCTCTTTAAGTATTCGATTACCTTTGCCCGTAGGAATGACGTCCTTTAGCTTAATATGATTCTCCATAGCTATTCTTCTGACCGCAGGAGTTGTTAGCGCCTTGTCTAACCCATATTTTACTGCGCAGTCTTCCTCGTCACCTTTAACGCTCTGCTTGTTATCGGTTTTTATAGTTTGTTGTTGCGGATGCTGTTTGTCAGAGATCATCGTCTTAACTTCCATGTTCCCATTATCACCATCTAGTTCGATGTCCAGCAATGAATCTCCTATCAGAGCTACGTCGTCCACCTTGTAGTGCAAGGCTTTAATTAATCCGTCGTAACGGCTGGTAATCGTCACAGATGCTTTGTCGCTTTGAACCTCACAAATGTTATCGAATTGAGACACCCGGTCGCCTGGTTTCACGAACCTATGCATTCGAATGTACCAAGTCAGAATTTAATTATCTTTACGGTACATTAGATCGAAATGCAGTGTTATCGACTGACATGTATTATGTATATGTGTATGTTAGGATTAGTTTATGTATTCTCATGTGAATTTTTTCATTTTTTTTTTTTTCGATAATATACTCCATATATATAATATATTCTGTAATATATTATTAAAAGATAATCTGATGACAGTGGAGGGGGAAAATGATCGGCAATTGCGAAAGCTTCGTGTGTATGTTGGTTAACGGCAAATTCTTTGTTTTGCTCACCACTCTTTTATCGTGACGTCTCGAATTCCTTCTCCGATATCCGATAGTTTGAAGGGGACGACGGTCCCGCAGCGAAAGCAGCTTACGGAGAAGAATCGACATTTTTGATCGCGTACATTTCTACCCTAAATAAACATAGATTTTTCTTTGTATACTCGTCAGCAATAACTTAGAAATCTTTGCTTCTGTCTGAACGATTTCGTCCATCCTTTATTTTAAATTTTATATTAGAAGTGTCGAGACGAGAAAATTGCATATCAAATATTTAGATTGAAACATCGATTTTTAAAAATATAACGTCATACTTTAAATTTTGAGCGTTAAAATGGAAATTTATCGATTATCGATATGTGATTAATTCAATTACGATTGTACAATCGGTAGCCATTTTTAGCTTGTTTTAACTTATGTGAAAGTATCGGATATAATAATATACATACATGCAAATTGTGCAATTAATTGTAAAAGTATAATGTAAAAAAATGTGAAATTCGAACGCCTGGAACGACTACTTGGCCTTCGTCACCCTCGGTTGTAGAAAGAGAAAGCGTCAACGCTTGAGGGTGCCATAAATTAAGCCTTCCCTTTGTGCGGTGCCGTCGGCTAACGGGCCCCAACGTTTTGCGACTGTGATGCTTAGTATACACGGGCGAACGAAACCGACTATTTCGTACGTTTCCTACCATCCTGAATAAACACAGCATCTCGGATAAATCGAGATGCGTTTATATGAATGATAGATTATATTCTCTTGAAATTCGCTTACAATAATATCTTACGAGTCTTTTTTGAAAAATTTAAATCGATGTTCGAATTGAATCGATTAATATCTTGTGATAATATTTTCTCAAGTTCAATCTTAATTGAGTTAAAAGAATAATGTAATCAGAAGAACGATGAATGTGATTAGTGAATTATACAATTTATCATATTTGTCGACATCATGATATACAGGGTGGTTGGTAACTGGTGGTACAAGCGGAAAGGGGGTGATTCTACGCGAAAAAAGAAGTCGAAAATATAGAATAACAATTTTTCGTTTGAGCCTTTGTTTTCGAGAAAATCGACTTTGAATTATCGCTCGGTACGCGTGCACTTTATCACGTCTCGTTATAACGCATCTCACTGTAGATCATTGTCTCGATGGAAAAATTAAAAAACAGAAAGAAAAATTAAAAAAAATCTTTATTCTATATTTTCGACTTCTTTTTTGAAGTCGAAGTTGAACAAAACTATATCATGACGTATGTCAAGCCTTTCAATATTATCCAATCCGTATCTATTACAAATATTTGTAACAACCTAGCCCCAATCAATGATTCATCGAGGCAATTGCTTTATTTGGCGGGAAAACATCGCCCAATCGTTATACGCACTCCGTAGAAGCTGCCCAATCAAAACAATTCTTTTTTTAAATTTTTACGATTACGTAATTATAGGATAGCTTCTATTGGATTAATTAGATTAAATACTCAATTCGATATTTGAGACGAAATCAAAATGCATAGAAACCAAACCGGAAGTCTTTTATAATTCCATATCAATTCCGTTCCGTATTCGGGTACAAAACGCTTTCACTAACTTTGATCAGACGGGTAGGTCACGTGTTAATTTCATTTATTGCGTCGCGGCTAAGTGTTTATTGCTTTAGTAGTCCTTTACCGTATAACTTGTCCGAAGACCGCAAAATGGAGTGTATCGTAAGTGGTGACGTTCCCTAGTAGAACATATATATTGGCTCTCTAAAGCTTGAACAATCCCAATATAAACGGCACATAACAAGGTTGCTAACCAATCCTGCGTCATGCCAATTAAACACATCGGCCGATACGGTGTACGAAATATTTGCAGTTTTCTGTGTTCTCTAAATATACCCTCTGATTTGTTTAATGCATTCCATGTCGTACCGATTTACTGCGATGTGTCATCGGTCACATATTAAAGATACAAGCGATTATCCTTAGAACGGTTGTAAATGACTCATAGTATGATAAAAAATGAAGAAATTTTAAAAGATTTAAAAATTCCAACAGTGTAGGAGGAGAACCAGAACTTTGCAAAAAAAAGGTACAACAATAGAATTGTATGCAGTGCATATGAACCAATTAACAATGAAAGTGTACGAAGCTTACACTAGTAGAAGACTAAAGAAGAAACATTCGTGTGACCTAATTCCAATATAGGACTATCAGTATCATTATTGTAATATATATGTATGTGTCTATATATGTATGTCGGAGACGAAAGGATATCGGGGTCTCCCTTTTGGAATGTTGGGGAAAACCTCAATACCCTAGTCCAGACTTTTACTATAGCTACGCTTAAATAATAAAACTAAGAAATAGCCGTAATGTTCTAATCTGATTATGGGTGCCCAAGGTTTATGACGATGGGCTTGGGCTCGAAGTGGCATAAAGGGTCACTGAACGTAGCCGCGGTCACGGGAGGGACGTGTACCTAACAGAGGTATGAAATAATTATATAGCTCTCCTTAAAAACAAAGATTGGCCCGAGAAGTGGGGAGAGGACTATATAAGGGCAGTTCCACTTGGACTGCGACTGAGTCTATACTTGCACGTTGAGTGACACCAGGATCGTATATCACATCGCATTCGTCGTCACGTTGGCCGTGGATTCGTTATCGAACCTCAATTCATTGTCCTCGACCATCCGATCTATTACTCGTGGCCTCTTGTAATAGTCACATTTGTGCCAATAAATATCAGCTATAACCACGATGGCAAATTCGAGTGAAGGTTCGTCAAACGCGTAAAATTCCAACATTAACCCGACATCAGAAGTGGAATCAGTGCCGGTTATAACAGTGCAAGAGCTTACGACCATCGTGCGCGAGTTAATTCAGTCGCTAGTGTAAAAATCGAGTGTGGAACCTAACAATTTTTCGCTACCGCGTTTTAACCCTGAAACCGCGGGCCCCGACTCTGCTGCATGGTGCGCAGTTGTCAATCCGATTATGAAGGAAAATCCTTTACAAAGCAATACCCTGAATATAATTTCAATAACGAGCGTCGAATCGACTTCTACGTAGTAGAAGCGTCAATTGGTAGATCAAGTCATCCGGGTGAGTCGTTTTCATTTTACTCTGATTTTGGACCTGAGTGTTCATTAATTAAAGAATCCGTAGTTTTGAGATTTTCTGGTAAAAGAACGATTGATATAGTTGTATCTTCGGCCAATCGCAGGGAGACGCAATCGCGAGGAAACACGTCAACGAGAGTCGTAAATTTCTGTTACGATTATAATAATCGACGCCGCGAATAGATCGATCCCCTGATTTCCGTTGAGATAATAGGGTTGGTTGAGGTGGTATAACCTGCGATTCACAGGATTATGAAATTTATATTTCCAACAACTTTGTAAAGAAGATAGTTACACTGAGGCGTATGCATAAGCTAAGTGAGTGATTGATTTAAGGATAGAAACCCGGTAATGACATGTTGACTATTCTAACGATGAAGAATAAGTGAAGTTCGTTCTTACGTGATTACGGAGGAAAGCTCGGAGTGGGTGTGTCTTTTGAACTAAGGACGTGGATTCGTTGTTCACACTTTTCGCTAGCGTTATAGCCAATATTAATAAGTGAAGATTGGAGGAGGAAGCCTCCTACCGACGTGGCTCGGGGGTGACCTTGTGCATGGGAAAAACCGTCTTTTCCGTTAGACACCAACGTGCAATAAACTTAAGGACTGTTTTAAATACCAGTTATAAACCGAAAATATTTGCAGAATTAAAGGTTCCTGCAAGCTAATAAGATTCAGTTTATAGTGGGGCCTTAGGTTTATGGAGGGTCTGTCGAATGGGGCTTGGGCCTCGGCGGTCAGACACTGAAGGACGTCGCACGGACCATTTCACGCGACGTAACAATAGTAGTAATACGAGAAATAAGAAATATTTGTACTAAACGTACATCTCAAATCTTGTCCATTACAGGTATTAGTGGTTTTACATTGGAGATAAATCTTTCATGTCCTTGCTGATAGTTATTTAAAATATGATATCGTGATTGATCACGAAATTTTAAGTCAAGGTTTTGACGTAATATTACACAAAGTAGCCCCGCTATGTGTAAAACAAAAATGATTAATGCCTGTAATAAAACCGCTGAAAACGAGATCGATGTTAATGAAGTTGACTAATTTCTCTTTTCGAAAATTCAAAGATTCATTCGTTACGAGTTTCCTACGTACTCGCGTAAATACAGGTCATTTAGAAATACAATTAATCGATCCTAAATCACCGTACAAAGAAGTCCTTATAGACTTAGCGAGGAAGAGCGCAGAATAGTACGTGAGAGAATAAACGAATTAATTAAAGCAAAAATCATAAGGCTTAGTAATTCACCGTTCGCGAGCCCTATGTTACTCGTGAAGAAGAAAGACAGCTCAGATAGATTAGGTGTAGATTTTTGAGAGTTAAATAAAAATATGATCGCGGATCGATATCCTTTATCTCTTATTGCGGATCCAATTGCGAGATTGCAAGAAGCGAGATACTTTATTAGCCTGGACAGGGCCAGTGGATTTCGCCAAATCCCTATTCATTCTAATTCTACAGAATATACAGCATTTGTTACCCCGATGGACAATACGAGTGTATAATGATACCGTTTGTGTTGAAAAATGCATCATCCGTTTCTCAGAGGGCTATTCTTAAGGCCTTAGGTGACCTCGCTTATTCGTACGTTGTTGTTTATCTGGAAGATGTTTTAATTATGGCCAACTCGATAGACCAAGTTTTAGAAAGACTACACATTGTATTAACACTACCGTTGAGCGAGTTTATAACACTAAAATTAGCCGAACCATATTTACAACAAGGTAGAAATATAACGACAGACAATTTCTTTGCAAGCATCTCGCTAGCTAAAAAGTTGCTAACACAAAAAACAACTTTGGTTGGGACCATCCGGTCGAATAAAAGAGAACTGGCAAAACCAGCGAAAGAAAAAAAGGACAAGATGACTTTGTTTTCCTCAGATTTATATAAATCAGAAAATTGCACACTTATACTGTGTATAAAAGTAAACCTAAAGTAAAAGGCCTCCTTCTAAGCACCAAACATACAGGTGCACGAATAGAAAATAATTATAAACGTGTTCCAGAAG